AGCGTTTCATTACTGGTCATTAAAAGCAGCACAGAAAGGCCAAGCCCAACACTGATCAGTAAGCACTGACCAAGCCTTGCTCTTCTCGGCATGCATTCAGTCTGACTTCACCACCGAGGGACAGCTGTGCCCTGAGATTACTAACCTCGCCCCGGGGGTCCCTAAGCTGTGTGAGATGCAGGGCCAGAGGGGTGCAGAGCAGGCAGGGCGCACTGTGCACCACAACGGCCAAGCTGCTCTCAGGACACCGCGAGGGGCCTGCCCGGCCTGGCGCGCTGAAGGTGCTTCGGCAGGGTTATTCCTCTGCTGTTTGCACCTTTAAAAGTTAACAAGTACCACCTGCAACTACTAAAAAGAAAAACAGTGACTTAAAGAAAAAAGGAAATTACTTTGTATGTGACCTTGAACAAGCCAAAGACTCTGCAGGGAAACAGGGTCTCTGGAAAGAGGAAGAGCGGTGTGTGGAACCCGGAAACTGAGTCCCTTTTTCTGAGGACACAGCCTTGTGGACACTGCACTGGATTCAGAAACAAAGGACACCAGAGGTCACAGACACCCCCTGAGGCGGAGGTTGACAGATCCATTGCAACGACTGGGCCCAGAAGGGAATACGGTACCAGAAGAAGTCTCAGATCTGGACAGCGCCTCCTCCATGGGTCCCCTGACTCGGGGACCAAGGCAGGCTGATCTGAGACACGCCCCATCTGTTCCTGCTTCCTGCAGTCAGAGAGGCTGCCCGGCTCCTGTATCCCAGGCTAAATAAATCTTCAGCAAAGTCCACCCGTGGGGGTGGGAGGGCCTCCTTCCACCAGCCCTGAACCCCTCAGCCCACATAATTCCATATGCCCTCTCCCTTGTTTCTACCTACAAACTGAGTCACACCTGGAAAACTCTATTCCAGGCGAATTTCATAATTCATGGAGAAAGAGCAGCAATATAGTAATCGACTTTTCCCCTCCCTGAGAGACCTCAAGGACATACAGCATTTGTACAACAAGGTGATAGCAAGTGGGACTTCCATTCCAACTCACTAAACTCTGTTCAGAGGGTTGCAGTGTTAAGGACACAGCCACCAATCAGATGCCCACACGGATTGAGTTAACCTGGCACAGAGTCCTGGCAAAAAGCACTCCTGCCCTCGACAAGCAGAAACAGAGACAGGTGCCCAATTCCTGAGATGACTCAGAACAGAGTGAAAATGTACCAATAACGTACTTTACTTACAATAAAACACTCTGAAGTAACAAAAGTATATATTTATATTTTTTTTAATTTATATAACCTTTCTCTGAAGGAGAACAGAAAAAAAAAAAAAACAATGTACAACCTACTCCACAGAGAATATTAGGATTGAATTCTTGAATTCAAAAGCAGAAAGAAAGATGGAAAGAGGAAGAAAAGGAATGACGGAGGAGGAGAAGGGAAGAAGGAGAGAAAGTGGGAGGGAGCCCAGTTTTCCCTGTGAATTTCTGAATAGAGAAATGTCTGCACACTATCGCTCCTGTGTTTGAGCTCCCACCTGCCCGGCTGCGTGTTGGGGAAAGAAACCTCGATGACCTGTCATCCCTAGATCAGGCGACCAGGACTTCCACGGTCCATCCAAGGCGGGGAGCTGCCACAGACAGGAGCAAACCCCGAGATGAACGCTCCCTGGGGGTCGGGACCAGGAGGCATCCTTAGCTGCGAGGCCTGATATGTCCCAAAATCCGTCCTTGGTTATCCTGTTGTTGTTTGAAAGAAATTTCAATCCTCAAGTTTGTACCAGTGCCGTGCCCACAAAGCCCTTAAGAAACCATGTCTCGGGGCTAGAGCTGTAGCTCAGCGGCAGAGCGCTTGCCCAGCATGTGAGGCACTGGGTTCGATCCTCAGTATCACATAAAAATAAACAAATAAAATAAAGGCATTCTGTCCATCAACAACTTAAAAAAAAAAAACAGTCTCTTAATGGTCCCTAATAATGTTTTGTGTTAATCCACAATTTGACATATGGGAACGCTCACTACTGTGAAAAACGCATTCCGCATTCCATGTATGGTAAAGATGCACACTTAAATCAGTTACCAGTTGGGTACGCCAACTGGTTCTTAAGAAAGCCAGAGAACATCTCCACTAACCAAATACATAGCCACAAGACTCATCATTCCACGTCACCCGACATAAAAGCCATTAGGAGGAATTAATCCACAAGCAAACGGGTCGATACAGAGGCCAGATGCCGACCCTGCAAAGCTTCACAGAGATGAAACCTGATCAGGTGCGGAGAAATGAGTGATGTGAATTTCCAACCTCCAGTGGGAATTCCTGCGAGTCACCAGACAATTTTTCAACACAATTCAAAGAGCTTCCTAATTTAAGTAAAACTCTGCTGAAGAAAGGCACTAACCTGAAAACCCTAACTTGGCTCTTAAAAACTCCGACCTCATCCCACCAACTGCAGAACGCCGGTAACTGCAGGCATCTGGGACAAGTGCACTACAACCTCTCTCCCCCCAGGTTCAAAATCAGAGAGATGGGACCAGACACTGCAGTGTGTAGAGCACATCCATTTGCTCATATGGAGCTCACTGTTAGCAGTTTAAACCTTTAGACGTGAACGAACAGTTTGCTCAGACTTTACCCTGAGGATATGTTACTCGGTGGTACCTATGTCGCATACTCACAGAGAATGGCCCAAGATTCAGCACATTACGGTTTTGCTTTCAGTCGTTGGCTTCACAAAATTGTGCTGACTTAACTATAAAAGGGAAGACAAAAGCCCAGATTTCCCACATGTGTATTTCTATAATAAATATCTCGGTATTTTCACACACACAGAGCTATTGAAGATAAATAAACTACTTCTACAAAGCACTGAGACTTTAGCATCTGAAGCAATCACGTACAGGGAAATTCTACATGGAAACGCTACTTGCCTTTCGTAGGACATCACCTTACATGGATGCAATCACATCTTTCTATTCTGCCCTTCACTTAACGGCATTGAAACTCATCTAAACAGCTAAACAAGCCACCCAGCTGGTAAAACCAACGACTTTCTGTTTTCATTTATATGACACACTTCACCAGTTCACATATCAAAGTCTTAAAAACACAAAAATTAAGTAGAAATAAAATCTAGTCAGCATGAATACAAATTCATCAATTGCTCATTTTTTGGTCATACTGTGTGACTCAGTTTTCACCGTTTCTTTGTGTTTGTGACATTCCTGAATAGGGGCCCGCAGCCCAACCCAGGACGGCCAGGACACAGCATCGTGAAGGAAAAATGGGCAGATTATTTACATTTATTTAATGCAGAACAGTTTTCCAAAATCACATCTTAAACACTTAAAAATGTCCCCTTTTTAAATGATACGGAAATGGTGTTTCCATACACTTGTATTTAGGCAAATTTCTTCTGTATCACAAACAGAGGTCCTGATAGGAAAACGGACTTCAATGTGATATATTTTAATACAGCATCAAACAGAACCTTCAAATTGTCTATAAACCACAATGAGCTCAAATCCACTTCATCTCCTCTCCTATTTGCTCTTCAAATTAAAAAAAAATTAGATCATAATGAATAAAATGGACATATTTCTCCATATCTCGTTGTTATTTAATTCTTGTTAGTTTAAATACCCCAAGATCTGCATAGAACAACTGTGACTCTTGCAAACATGAAACCACATAAATCTTATGTCTATAAAAACTTAAAGAGTGTCAGTTTTCATCCAAGCAGAACTTAAAATTCATGGTATAATCGATTCCAGAGCAAAATCCTCATTTTTTTACTTGACAAGAAAAGTGAAATATCCCTTGTGGAGACAATATCCAGAATGTCAATCACATCTCAGCAAAATTCTTAAAATTCCATGGGAAGCAGTTTGGATCCTTTGGGCCCTAAGAAAGTTTCAGTTGACTTCTCTATCAAGAAATTCACAAAAAAAATAAAATAAAATAAAAAATAAATTCCACTACTGTCACAGCATTTTAAAAGACTCTGCAAATAAAAAATAAACAGACTTTAAAGTTGGTGTTGAAGAATCCTTTTGGTCCCTCCTGGGAAGGATCACCTGTGGCTTCCTGATTACACCACATCATCGCTCTGTTTGCTTTAAGAGTAAACTTTAAACACAGAGATTGCTGCTTCTGCTTCCACGAATGAACCCAAAGACCAACAGTGAATCACCGGTGCGTAAAGTTCACATTGTTTGTTGAACAGTAACACTTGGGACTCTTCAGAAAGAATCAATTAGGTGAATGGGGGGGCGGCGGGTAAAAATTAGAAAGTAAGGAAGTTCCGCTGCCGGTTTTCTTTTTAACTTAGCCTGAACCCATCATCCTAAAAAATTGAAATGTTTATCATGAAGGGAGGGGTGTCTCCCCACGGGAGGTGGAAGACACATGGGAGATGCAAACTATTCTTAGACTTGTTACAACTTTCCTGAGTAATTAGGAAGCTCTATGTCCCCGACAGAATGAGGCTAACGAGCTCCTGCCGTCTCTACTCTAGCAAGAAATCAAAGAGACCCAAAGCAGAGGACTCAGTTCAGTAAAAGGATTACACAGCCTGGCTATTATGGAGCCGAAAGCTCGCCCACCACTTTGGACCCGCAGACCCTTCCTAAGAGTTTCGACAGCCAACGAACGTGACTAAATGAAAAAGAAAACTGCAGTATGCCGTAGAACGTCCGTATCTAAGAAGAAGGAGCAAGTTATTAGATGATGCCCGGTTCAGATGACGTTTAGGATTTGAAACTTTCCCCAGAGAAAGACGGGGAGGAGGTTCTTCTAAGAAACACCTGCTCCTACCTGGGACTCCTGCTGCAATGCTGTCTATGGAGGGTCCCTGTCAGGGTCACCCTTCTTTTGAAAGACAAAGGCATGTCGGAACCCACAGAGGTGACACTTACAAGTACCACTTTGATGATCGGATAAAATCTGAGAAATAAAAAATCCAGAAAGCGGCAAAAGGAGGAGGCCTGGGTCCCTCCGCAAGCGTGACGCGCACGTACCTTGAGGACTTCCATGGGCACCTGGGTGGCAGAGGGAAGGGCCGTGGGCGCGCTGACGTTGATGGCTGGTGTCTGGCTCGCGGGCACTCTCTGCTGCAGGAACTGGGCCGCCTGCAGCTTTTGCTGCTGCTCTCTGCGCTCCTGCTCCTGCATCTGTTCACGCATGAGCTGCTGGCGTAGCAAGATGCGTGATGTCATACTGGACGAGCTTATTGGAGGCTTGGAGGCCCCGGGATGCTCCGCAGAACTGCTGTGGGGAGACCAAAAGGCACACGGCACTTAGTTTCCTAATGAGACCCCTTGTTTGCATTTTGGGGTGTCCTAAATGGCACCACATTACAAAATGAGTCTGCGCGAATATAATCAAGCCCTACGACGACAACGACGGTACTCCACATAATTGAAAATCAAGAGGTGACAGGATTTGAGTCATCAGTAGTCGAATTAAAATAAGTCGGCTTGATTGCATCTAGGCATTTCTATGGAGCTGATTAATTTTTTTTTTGACATTTTATACCGCACACCCTTCATTCCACCAAATATAGTGCCGCCATATGCATTTCCAAGGAGCCATGCATCTTGATGGCACCCCAGACCCCAGATTCAGACACAAATTGCTTGCTTTGCTTTTTTAAATAATAGAATCTAGCCAACTACTCAGAGATGCCTTCAAAATACCTTGAGGATGTCTAACATGCTTACTAAGAAGGAACTATTCAAGGAAAGACGAGCTTTATCGTGGGGAAACAGCTCTCTGATAGTTAATGAAAGAAGCAGGTGGACGAGAACATCACCCCTGAGCTCGACCCCAAGAGGGCACGGGAGGAGGAGCCGCGCCCCGTTCTTGTCACAGCTTCCTCGGGGCCCCTTTTCTTCTGCTCTTTCTTGGTGTGTCCACTGCTTTCTGTGCTCTGTGTGTCCTGCTACTAATGGTCCGGGGCTCCCTGAGTCGAAATTATTGAACATGTTAAACTCTCGCCCTAAGAATTAAAGACCCCACCCCAAGTTTCCCACTTTGGGTCTGTAGCTGCCTTGTCTTGATAGCTCTGTGACACTGGCGAGTGGTCACGCCTGTCTCTGCCTTAGTCACTGCCCCTGGAGTAGAGGGTGCATCGGAGCGGAGGGCGCTGGCCGTCCTGCAGGGGCTGTACTTGGCCTGCTCACGTCCCCTTCATCGATCATACTCCAGGCCCTGCCTCCTGGGGACTCTGAGGGATTAAATAAAACAACACACACAGATCCCTTGGTACAATGGGTTCCTTGGAGCACTGCCTCCCTGAACGTCTACTGTTGCTGTTACCCCATGTGGGAAATCTAACTATGTATTCCAACACCTCTGTTTAGGGCATTCATTTAAAACTTGGGAAATGATGGAGTGACTATTCACCTCAGGTCAGCTCGTCTGGGGACGTGTCAGTGCTTGCTCTTCCCTGCCTGGGTACAAACCCCAGCACTGCCTTTGCCTTCTCACCAAGGGCCGGCTGAGGCCTCGATGTCACTGACCCCCTGGGAAGTCGCAAAGGCAGAAGTTTCAGACTCCGCAGGAGGCAGAACGTGCTGCAGGGTGAGCAGGTGTCCCGAAAAATGTCACGGTAGACGTGCTACCCCCAGTTTGCCAATTTACACCACAGGACAAGCGGGCCAGCCGATGGTGATGGGGTCCTGCCGAGCTACCTCCTGCGGCGTTCCCAGATAGTGCAGGGACATTTGCTGATGGGACTGAATCTAGGCGATGAGATATGGTTAGAAACACAGGTGGAAACAGCCCTTGAGGTAAGAGCCAAAGTTTTAAATGTTCACCACAAGAAAAAGTGTGCGGATATTGTTCTGGGGGCCATTGCTGGTGAATACTACAAACCTTCAAGGAGAGGACCAAAGGTCATCAAGAAGCTCCACCATTGCTCCTTCAATTAGAGTCAGGGAGCTCGTCGCCAGACAGTTTTCCTTAAGTAAATGGGAAGCTGACACTATAGAGCTCTTTACAAACGCACACTCTGCCAAATTGCCTAGATGTGCCCTGGAATCCAAGGATGAGTAAACCCTAACACATGAAGTAAAAAAAAACACGGCTTATTTTTAAAAAACTGCCCAACTACAGAGCAAAGTAGGAAATACATGTGATAAAGAGTAAATTAGAAAGCAGGACTCAGGCGTGCATGGGCACCCTGATCTAGAGGAACCATGATGTGTGCTTGAGTGTGTACACACACACACACACACACAGTGACCGCCAGGAATGTGACGGACAGTCATGGTGACCAGGCTGAGAAGGGAACTGCAGGTCAATTTATTTTTCTTTCATTTTTATCCTCTAAACTATTAAGCCATAATATTTTGTTCAGTAGCAAAATATATGTCAGTAGACACTTATTTAAGAATGTGAAGACCAAAGTCATCATTTGGAGGAAGAAAGGACCTTGGATCCATCACAGAGGGGACAAGGGGATTGTGGCCAATACACTGTTTTCCTGGAAGTCTATAGCATCCCAAAGATTTATACCCTCTTTCCTTCCCTGCCTTTCCTAAGCCACAAGTATGTTTATTACTTTAATATCATGCACCCATCTGCATCATAAGAATGCTCCTGGGCTGTTCTACTCACTTAAAATAACCCAGTCACTGGCTGAGGCCCTACCAAAAGAGCATCAGAAGAAAATGTATTTTCCCTCCATTGAGTATGTACATGTTCAAAGCTCAATGTACTCTCCTAAGCTGAGAAAAGAAGGGAGAGGTATTTAAAAATTAAAAAAAAATAAAAAAGTAGTCTTACTATTCAAAGCCTGTCAGGTCCCAACATTCCCAGGGAGGCTGATCCTTTTGATAGAAACAGGAGCAAACCTTTGTGTAGTAGCAAATGCAGCTGTGGAATAATCGCACTAATTAGCTGCCCAGGACAAGTCATTGGCTGTGATACGGGGAGGAAAATCCTTTCAATTAACAGTAGAGCATTCCGGAGACAAATTAAAATTGCTAGTTACAAACCATATTAAGCCTGCATACTTGAAAGTCAACAATGTTACTTAAATCCCGTTCTCAAATATTCTCCTCAGAGGAAAGATGAACATCTATGCAAGAGCCCGTACAAATATATGGAAACTCCATGAAAGAAAATAAAGCAAGTATATTTTGTAGCTCAGCTAATTGACAGTGTTGACAAATTTTTCAGGATTTAAAAAAAAAGTGCCAAGGAAGCATTAGTCAGTTCACTGCACACACACACACACACACACACCCTGCAAGGTGGTTGCTCTCCATCTTTTAGATGTCCCTCCCTTATAGAGATAACTGAATCTGTCATTGTCACCTCACAAACAGACATGAGGACATCTGCACATCATCACACCAGAGGGACGAATGAGCCCCGTGCTTTAAACTCAAAGCCGTGGTTTAGCTGAGGCTGTTCCAGGTGACAAGGATGCTGAGCCAAAGCTTCTGATGACACACAAGGACAGATGTCCGAGTGCATTTGATTCTGAGTGAACTGAACCCATCCAGGGCCCATGAATCTGAACCCTGCCTCCATAATCCTAATTCCATGAGTCTGATTCCTCTTAATCAGATTATGTAAAGGTCATTTATTCAACAAATAGTTTCAGCCAGGTGCTGGGAATACCTGGCTGCTAATCTCACGTTCTAAACCTTGGTTGCCTAATTCTGAGACGCCTGAAAATCAAGTCAATTACCTTGATGACTGGGCTCTGATCTGGTTCCACGTGGGAAGGCATACGTCTCACCTTCAGAAACCAAAGCTGGGCCCAGAGGCAAAGGCCCTTGGTGGCACTTTGCTGAATTGCTGCAGCAGGACGTGCACCTCCCCTGAGGATGGGAACTGCTCCACGCTGACCCGAGGAGGACTCCAAGGCTCAGATTCCAGCCCACTCAGTGCTGAGCAGTGCTGCTTTCCATGAGCCACTTAACCTCTCTGGTCTTCTCTAAAACCCACCTCCAGAGTGCACTGCAGGGTCACGTGAGCTAACTGGCTAAAGCAAAGGGCTCAGCACAGTGGCTGGAAAGCAGCAGAGTCCAGGAGTGGCCACTGAGCGCCACCGAGTTCCTGCCTCTACTGCTGAGTGTAGGTTTTTAGGCTTCAACGCCTCCTGCTTCTCTGCGATGGTATAGGAATATTGGACGGGGCCTCTGAATAAGCTGGCATAGTCCTAAATCCAAATAATTTATTCCACTGCCTTTATCAACAACCTCAACCTATCAGAAATTCCACAATGCCCCAGACCCCGGCTTCCCTGATCACCCCTCACCTGACGTGTGCCAATACCCCTTCATTCACCACGTAAGTCTGCTTTGGTCTCCACGTCACAATTCTCCAGGTCAGGAATCTGGTCACTAAACCCGGAAAGGCTGTGGGAAGGGTGGGGCCTCTCCTGTGTCCCCCTCCTCGACCCCCTGGGCAGGGCACAGCTCTTCCACTGCTGACTGTGACCGAGGCCCTGTCCGCCTATCTCTCTGCACTTGGGTTTTCCTTATTAATCAGAGCTTTTCAGTATACTGGCCCCTCGGCACTGTGGTGAGGACTTAGCTTTGTAGTAGATATAAAAAGCTTAGCTCAGAGACTGGAAAAATTAGTGGTAAAAATTATATTAAGCCATGAACATGCTACTTCTTTTTGATACAGGAAGCAATTAAAAAAAAAAGGCTTGGACCATGGAAGACATGTCTTTTAAAGGTCAGATGATCCCTTTTTAATTCTGAGAACTTGACAAAGCTTTGCAGGGATGGAGGAAGGAGGTGATTTCAGCTGCGATTTCTCATGAGCCCTAAAGTAGAAATCCCAGCTTTTTTCCCCAGTTAAAGTAACCACAGTAGCATTGGGTTGACAGAGCGCCAAAACAGCCTCGGCTCACACGGGGGCACACTGTGCTCGTGACCAGGAAAGCACAGGGTGGAGGCTCTTACACCCACAGTGCAGGGCACCAGAAGGCGCAGCAATCTCAGGCCCCGGTAGGAAGGCTGTCGAAGGAAGGCTAAGCCACAGGGGTTTCCAAGGACAAAAGGCTGCAACGTCCTCGGCTGAGAGCTGTGTCTAAAATTAAATCTCCCAGTTCCATTCCTGCAGAATTCTGATTTCAGTTCAGGTGAGGCATCTTATCTACAAATTCTCTGCATCTTATCTGGTACGCAGCCTTGGGTAGAAACTCACAGCAAAACGTCCAAGATCCCAGATCTGTCTGGCAGGAGTGCTGAGACACCAGCCCACATCTCCAATTCTGCAGCCCGGAGGCTCTCTGTCCTGCA